CCATGTATCTTTGAAGCGGTGCTCTCTGTAGTTGTGTGTCGGCTCTAGTGGCAACGTCGTACACATCTTCGATCACATCTTCCTCATCGTCCTCGTCAATCACCTCCGCAGTGTACGAGGGCTTGATATGTGTCCTCGTAGACCTATGAAGCCACCATAGGTACTCGTCGAAGGTGTGCTGGTCGTGTGGGGGACCCGCATCGATCGACTGCTAGTCCCTATTCTGCCACAACTGGATGTACGCATTGTGTGTCATGCGCCAATCCTTGGTCTTGTACCTCTTCCTGCGGTCATACCTGCAACAAAATGATTGTTAGTTGTACCATACACATCTCTAAATTTTAGCTTTGTTATTAATCGATAACGCACCCGTGCAATTCTTGGTTGGTGGAGTAAAGTGGTGGTGGGTAGCCTGTCATTCTTCCAAACTGCCTGCAAACCTTAATGGGCAAGTGAATCTCGACCACGTGGAAGAGCATAAGAGGGACGTTGCAGTGATACTCGTCTGACTCATCCCCAGTGACAGGACTCAGATAGTACTCGAGCTCCAGAGCATCCCAAGGACACCAATGCACCTGAACATTTTGTAATTGAGTTAGGTTGTGATATAGTGTACATCGAACAAGACACATGTATGATAGTAAAGAGAGTGTAACCTGGTGCTGTGTCAGGACGTCGAGACCGTCCGTGTACTCCCTGTACTTGCATCTCGCATTCCCTCTAACTAACTCTGCTTCCGTCCAGATATACAGAGCCGTAGGAAGTGTATCCTGCCCGTTCTAATGCTGCATTGAACATGATAATGAATTATCCATTAATAATTTAATCATATGTAACTGCCTCAAAGAATATATTGAACCAAAGTACTTACCGGTAAACCAGTAGGAAGGGGCCTCCCAACGGGCCATCGTTCCCAACACCAAACCTGGAGTAGTTAGGAGCATCCCCCAAGGTTCGCATACCCTGAGGTGCGACGGCAAGCAACGCATAGCTATCGATACGTCCATGCCAGGACTGCGCTGCCCTAGTTGTACGTCGCTATGTTTTCCCATGGTTGGCATAGTATGTCAAGGAAGATCCAGCTGATGGTGTTGCCCGAGGTGTCTGGGAAGAGGAAAGCACCAAGGAAGTGCCAGAGCCACACTCTAGCAAACCTGTCGATCTGAGCCTCTTCAACCTGTGGATCCAAGTAATCAAAGCGCTCTGTGATCCACGTCGACAAAACACCAGAACTTTTCCTGAAATTCACTAAAGAAAATGAGACCCGATGGCTATAGGAAAGCAATGCAAGTATTAAATAGGCTTGAATTGCTCACTTATTTTTCTTAGCAACCTCGTTGTCCGGTGGAAGAAAACCAGTGAACTGAGCCACCAGCTCCCTCCAGTAATCGTTGTCAACTATACCTGTCACTGGAAGTCCCCCCGACCGAAGGCCAAAGATAGCCTTCACGCCCTGCATGGTCAAGGTCATCTCGCCGCAAGGTAGGTAAAACGTGTGGGTCTTAGGCCTCCACCTATTATAAGAATAGAACAACTGTTAGTTGCCTCAAATTTGTTATAAGAATGTTTACGTACAATGAAGGCACTTGCACCTGTCTACAGCTGCAGTAAGTAGTGCTGGGTCAAGAGGCGGGAGACCGTAGTTGACAACACGGACAAGCTCGAGAAAGCCGGCACGCCGTATGTACGGCGCGTAACGCTCATCCCACTGGTGCGCTGTGGTGTGTGTGCGGGGCCTCAAAGAAGGCAAGGCTATCTCTGTGTCGGTGTCACTCAAGATGTGTGCTCGGTGCGTCTCGTCGTACTCCACCTCAAGAAGAGGGTACAATGGGTGCTGCGTGGGAGGGTCATCCTGTTACAAATTGATAAATAAATGGTTAGAGTATTCAAATTAACAATATTCAAATTAATATTATATAGCATTGTAAAATTTGAACTACTTATTATGCAACAGGAACACAATATGAAAGCACATGTATATATTCAAAGTAACATTAACAGATATATTAAACAACTTTACTAGGAAAATAAGCAACTTCTATGTATGGACCTGTTGTCCACCGGTGTTTCTTATTAAATTATTACAATAGCTTGTCTGCATCTGCTAGAGCAGCTCATTATAATTTTAACCTAGGGATAAGTAGCCCAGTATAAGATGAATTGATTGAGAACTATCACGTGTGTCATACTTAGTCCTATACTCTATACTAATATGTCTAAAAATACAGGTTGTCTACTTTTTTCGCACAATGCTATGATGGACTCATAGCTTTAAGCACAAGACTAGAATGCTGTTGAGATTACTGTGAGAAATATGAGATAGCTTGGATAGTCATAATTTTACCTCCTTGGTCACTAAGTTTTACGATTTATATATGCTGATAGCAGTATGATATCGACAATGTTGTGCATGATTTTGGAGTTTCTAGTGCTTTCAATATGTGCTTGAGTGAAATGATCATTTGTATTAATGTTTCCATGTAAGAAAACAAGCATATAATAATTTAAATCATAAAAACTCAACCAACCAAATTTGTCGCTATATATATGTATGTCTAGTGCACAAAAAACACATAAATAAATTTATATTTCACGTGTCTTTTAATTAGACATTTATTTTCGCTATAATTAATAATACACGGTAAGAAAATTAACAATTAAAGTATATAAATAATAATACAATGTAAGATAAATTAACGGCTAAAGTATATAAATAATAATACAATGTAAAATAAATTCACCTCAAATGAGGTTGAACTCATGTGAGGGTTTAAATGCCTGACGGGCAGTACGCCGTGTGGCCGGAGGCCGACGAGGTGGCGCGCGGCGTCTTGGCGCGGCGCAGGCGGCTTGGCAGCGGGGTGGCGTGCGTTTCGTTAAATGGCGGCGGCGCATGCGATGGCGCGTCTTGGCGCGCCGGTGGCGTGCGTGGCGCGCGGCGGCGTCGGGCGGCGGCGTCGTGCGGCGCAATGCGCGCGCGGGCGTGCGCGGTATGGCGTTGCGCGGGCGGAAGGCGGGGGCGAGGCGGCTCGCGCGCACGACGAGGAGGGCGGCTCGCGGGCGATATTTATCTGGTCCTGCCGCGCCATGCGCCTTGGCGCGTCAGTGCCGCGCTAAGATCGGTGTCGCGGCTGACCCTGCCACATCACCGGTCAGCGGCCCAGTCATCGCCACGTCACCCCTCTCGCCGTGCCACCATGCATGGCGCGGCACACGCTTTTCGCCGCACCATGGCAATAGGCGCGGTCAAAAGTGTTAGTTTTGGAGAAAAAAAATTAAACAGTGTTAGATTTAAAATTAGTTTACAAAAAGTGTTAAAAAAATCTGCTCAGCTACAATGATCAGAATAGCAACATGCATTTTTTTTATGGAACAGCTACTGCAATCAACAAGCATATTGTCATTATGCTATCCTCTGCTCGTAGCAAACCTTTGGACTAGAAATAGCATTAGACATGATGATATTATAGCCATTGTTAGAAGTTTCCAACTGCATTTGTGATTTATCCTTTGAGGGTGCATTTATACTAAATAAGTAATTAGAAATGAACCAATATGATGTACATGTAAAAACATCCACTTATGTGGTGGAAGGATGTTTAAAAAGAAATGATATTGATATTTTGGATCTTATGGACCACACGTCCTGTGGCTGTTGTACAGCTGTATGAGAAATTGATTGAACTATGATGGGAATTTACTGAAAGGCTTATGTGTGGATGTATTATATGAACGAGTGTGCCGGTTTACATGTTGTTTATTCTCAGAGTTCTTTCTTTCTTTCTTATATATGCAGGAAACACGAATGTAGTAATGGCTCCTACTGAAAATAAGGTTGATTTGTTAGATGCGCTAGTGTGCCACTGATCTCGTTGAATCAGCACTGTTCAGACCAAGGCTTTGTGAAGGTTCCAGTCATGGCGAGAGCCGGAGAGTGGATCTGTTGTGGAGGTAGGATACCTTGCTTGTTTGATTCCATATATGTACCTTTTAACTCTCTCCTTTCATTTGTTAGAAAAGAACTCCTTTCCCTCGAATCTGGAGGCACCGGGCTTTTTTTGGGTGCTAGGATTTCTTGCTTCAGTTAATTACCAATCGAGGATGACATGTTAGAAATAAATAACATGGGTGTTGTTCTGTTCATCCCACCAGTTTGGTGTTCCCCTCGTAACAATAAATATGTATTTGTTTAAAACAAAAAGGGCCTTAGCCCTACTGTTTAATTGTACCCAGAGAAGACTTCACAATTAGTGAATTTTTTGTGCACAGACAGGCGATGGCATTAGGTTGAATTCACAGCTTCTGCTCTACCTGTTACCACCTGATTGCAGTATCTTCTCTACCTGTTACCACCCTTCTGCTGTGATGGATGGCCAAGTCAATTTGTTGTGCAGCTCTTGTCATGCCGTTAGCCCATCCCGTTAGCCAAAGTCTGCCAGAAACATAACGGCTAATGTTGATGCTAATGCTAATTTATTGTGAGAGAAAAACACTATTATTTCGCTAAAAAGATACGGCTGATAAGTTCATCGGACCATTTTGTTAGGTACGGTCTAAAATTAGCATGCACTTATCAAAGAGAAATATGGTCCATACTAATTAGATGCAATAAACAACAGCAAAGTATACTCCTCGTTTCTAAAAAGAATGCAACTCTACCTTTACCCTAAGTCAAGTAGTCATCTTACGTTTAACTAAATTTATATATAAAAAAAGGTAAATGTACTTATGATACTAAAGTAGTCATTAAATTTATCATTGGATATACGTTTATAGTATGTCCATTTTGTATCATAAATGTTTGTATTCTTTTCTATAAACTTGATCAAAGTCTTGTTTATAATTGCATTCGGAGGCACAGTAGCTTTTATTTATATTCCATCGATTCTGTCTTTTGAGTGCTGCATAGACACACCAGCATGTCACAATGATTATTTTCGTTCTAACCATATATATTTCATTTGCTGAGTGGGCGACACATCGCCAGCAAGGTCATGTCATCACACTCCGTTGATGGCGGCGATCCTGAGGAGGAGGTCGACCAGCTCCTCAGGCCTGGACAGCATGGCCATGTGGTCAGCCCCGCCAGCGGTCATGGCCTCCACCTCGACGCCGGGGCTCTGCGCGATCATGCGGCGCTGGAACTCCGCCGGGATGCCGAGGTCGTCCTCCACCACGACGAACACGCGCCTCGCCGACCCGTACCCCGCCTCCGTCAGCAGCTTCTCGTCTGTCATCAGCGCGTCCTCGTTGAACCGGTTCGCCGGCCGGATCAGCGACAAGGCCAGCGTCAATTCCTGAACTCAAGTCAACAATAGCAGCTACTTACAGCATCGATCGTAAACGATCGTGAATTATAAGCTAGAACAGTATTTTTCTCTCACACCAAACCAGCCAGTAGTAATAATCCACGATCGTTTCAGCACGTTTTCATTTGAAGTTGCAAAATCCTTCTTCTCTACCGTCGCTATGAAACGCTTTCATTTTTCTTTGTTTTTTCTTCAAGATGAAGCATGCCGTTTTCTTTGACATGATATATAACACGTACTCCCCGTTCTAATTTATAGGTCGTTTAACTTTTCTAGCTTTATTATAATTTTTATTATGTATCTTGACAGGTTGGATGTCTATGTGTATAAAGAAAATATATATCTAGAAAATAAAAACGACATATAATTTTGAACAGAGGGTGATATACGATAATAATGCATAGCCCGAAGAGCAAGATTAGGATGCTATCACCTCTGGTGGACTTTAGTTGATACAGCCTCTGGGCCGTGAACTTGGGCCCGAAGATAACAGGGCGTCCAGGAATGTTAGGGTTCTCTTGGTGCAGCTCCTTGCTGTCTAGGAAGAAGTCCGGCTCAAACTTGAGAAACTGGCAACAGTATAATATAGGGGAAAGAATAATTATGATACAGGTCATTGTTAATCCGTACGTACTACGGTACCAATAGGCAGCTTAAAAAGAGAAAAAAAAAGAGAATTGCAAAATTTTAGGTGTCTGAAAACCGTTTCCTTTTGGGCGATGGTTTGTAGCCGTCCGATCTAGATCCTAGGGCTGAGCATCATCTTCAACCTCCATCTCTCTGTCATCTTCGACCTCCGTCTCTCTATCTCCATGAGCTGCAGGCCATGGCTGACGCCCCCGCCTCCCGTTGGCTTGTCCAGTCCTCGACGGCTTCCCGGCCGCCACGTCCGATACTGATGACCCTAGCTTCTTCTTCCTCAAGCCCGATGCGCCGCCACTAACCACCGCCCCGCTGCGGCGCGGCAGGGTCCCGCGGCGGCCTCCATCTTCCCCTCTCCCCTCTGCAGAGCTGTGGCGAGACTCTGCTGTGCCCGCGGCGGTCTTCTTCTTCCCTTCTCTCCTCCCGCCGCCTCCACCGCCACCGGGGCGCCTAAACCGTCGTGGCGCCGTCCCTACCGTAGTAGTTACTATTCCATGAATTTGTGCTCGCGCTGTCCTAATGATCAAGGAATAGCTGCTACTACTAGCTGGTGGCCGTCCCGTCCAGCCCCTATACTCCGTGTCGTGGCTGTGGAGGTCAGCACCCACCCGACCCGATGGGAATGGGAATGGGAATGAAGGAGCGGCCGGCGGTCAGTAGCGTGCAGCAGCTTTCCGCTCGCAGCATGCACATGCCTGTTAGATCCAAATCACTGCCACGTACAGTACGTACTGTACCCTACGATGATTGTACGATAAACATCTAGTGATCAGAATGGACCAAATGTCCAAATCAACCATGGTATGTAACTCTCTTCGTCCCAAGTTAAGTGACATTTTTAATTTTGAAACATCTTATTTGATCGTTCGTTTTATTCAAAAAATTTATATAATCATTATTTATTTCATTATGACTTATTTTATTACTAGAGATACTTCAATAATAATTTATTTATTTTATAATTTATATAAAACTTTTGAATAAAGAGAACAGTCAAATAACTAAAAGTAAAAAAGTCACTTGTTCACCGAGAAAGTACGCCGGCCGGCCGGCAAGCCGTTCAATGCCGTCGACCGGTCTACTTACGACTGACCAACGACACGCTGCTGCTGCTTGGGTAGGTGATGAGCTACTACCACTCATCATTGTCCTCCGCCTGGCCGGCTGATCTGGGCTAGTACATCCTACTACAAAGTCAACGAGACACTTAACAAAGTGGAGGCACACTTACTGTTTCGCTGCATGGCTAATGACTTCAGCTGCTGCGCAACAACACCGTAACACACACACACACACATTTTAGTACTACATACAGAGAGATAGAACCATATTTTGTACTGTAGATAACTAAAAAGAAACATATTAGATGCGATGTGAAGTGTGTGTGCGCTGCCTGATTAATCAAAAAAGAAACAAACCAACCACTAAGTGAAACAAACCAACCACGATCTGCGTAATGCACGATAAATCAAGGATTTTGGATATTCAGCGTAATAATTTTCAGAGGCCACAGATCTTCTCCTGAAAGGTCTGTTTTAGCCATTTACCAGCTGATCAATCAGTTGCTTAATTAAAACCCTTATTCATATATACAAATTATTAGGCAGTGTCAACCTAGTTATAACGGTTTTTAATATTAAGGAAGCTTTTCTAACTGTGGGTTTCCATTTAAAGTGAATTAATTTCACGTCCGTGCCATTAAAAATATATGGTGAAGCATGAAGAGAGAATAAATATAGGTAAATTTGCTAATTCTTGCAAGCATCTTTGAGCTGCACAAGTGAATTCTCACCGAAACAATACAGGCGCTAATTAAACAGAAAAGAGTTCCAGGAAGCCCCGGTCCATCCAAATGCACTGAACCAACAAAATATGCATATGCATGGTCAAAACTTCCCCTCCAGACTCAGGTTACCTACCGTCCAAGTTTCGTTTTGCTACTGCTGCAAAAGCTTCTATCGAGACCCAGATTTGCGGCGTGTGCATGTGCATCCAGGCCAGGGCGATACAACAATTCATTGCTGCACATATGATTTGCCCTCGCAGATCACGCGTGAAGCAGTAGTGCTCATGTATATGTACGTACCTCGTCGGTGGTCGCGCGCCCATGGAGCGGCCGACGGCCGGCATGGACGCGGCCACGAACACGGCCGCGGCGACCTTGTCCGGGAACCTCTCGGCGGCGAGCGCGACGCTGCAGCCCCCGTGGCTGTGCCCCACGAGCACGGCGCGCTCGCCCGGCGGCAGCGCCGCCACCGCGTCCAGCAGCGGGCGCGAGTACTCCTCGAAGCTACGCACCTCGTCCACGCGCGCCGGGTGCGCGCCGCAGCCTGCCATGTCCGGCGCCGTCACGCGGTGGCCCGCGCGGCGCAGCGCCGTGGCCGCCTTGTACCAGCACCACGCGCCGTGGCACAGCCCGGGCACCAGCACGAAGTGGTGCTGCGGATGGGGCTCCTCCTGGTTTCCACGCCCGTTGGTCTCCATGGCCTTCGATCCGGTAGTTTGGTCGCGCCTTACTACTCTGTGTACTTGCACAATGTATACAAGTGCCCCAGCCACCCCTATGGCTAGTACTAAAAATATATCTCCTCCGGTCACAAACAAATAAGAAATGTCTTTGCCTATTCCTATTTAAAAATAGGAGGATATTTTCATACATTTCATTAGGGTTTATCATGCACGTCCAAGGGCTATACCTTTATTTGGGTCATTGTGGATCGCCTTACTAAGTCCGCTCATTTACTCCCGATGGATACCAGATATTCAGCCAAGAAGTATGCCAAGTTGTAATTTGACCGGATCGTGATCCTGCATATCAGTCTTTGTCTCTCGTTTTTTGGAGCAACTCCAGGAATGTCTTGGTACTAGTCTACTCAGAAGTTCAGCTTATCATCCGTAAACTGACGGTCAGACAGAAAGAGTTAATCAGGTACTTGAGGATATGTTGAGGGCTTGTGTCATTTCTTTTCCTGAAAAGTGGGACGAATGCTTGACTCTAGCTTAGTTTTCTTATAACAATAGCTATCAAGAAAACATTCGTATGACACCTTTTAAGGTCCTCTATGGTAAGAAATGTAGAACACCTCTTAACTGGGTTGAGTGGGTGATCGTGGATATTTTGGGTCTGATTTTACCAAAGAAGCTCGAGAGCAAGTCAGTATTATTCGGAGCCATTTGAAGGCAGCTCAAAGTCATCAGATAACTTATGCGGACAAGCGAAGAAGGCCCTTACAATTTGAATTTGGTGATCATATGTATCTCAAGGTATCTCCCATGAGAGGTGTATATCGATTTGGTGTCCGTGGAAAGCTAGCCTCTCGCTATGTTGGACCTTACAAGATTTTAGCCCGGTGTGGTTCTGCTGTCTACCGTATCCAACTCCCGGATATTTTATCAGCAGTACATAATGTCTTTCATGTTTTCCAGTTAAAAAAATGTTTGCGGGTCCCGGATGAAGCGGTGGAAATGGAAGGACTTCCCCTCCAGCCTAACTTGTCTTATATTGAGCATCCTGTCAAGATCTTGGACGAAAAAGAAAGAGTAACTAGAAACAGTGTGGTGAAGTTTTACAAAGTTCAATGACAGAATCACTCGGAGGATGAAGCAACGTGGGAGCTAGAAAGTTATATTTTAAAGCATTATCCCCATATTCTTTCTAGTTAACCGAGGTAATTGTTTAAATCAGAATTTATTTCTTATCTCTTTTCCCACAATAGGCACATAAAATCTCGGGACGAGATTTTTTTTAAGAGTGGTAGATTTGTAACACCCTCGGTGTTATACTGTAAATCATTTACTAAAACATGTCATGAGCATCATGTTTATGTGTTAATGCATGTAATAAAGAGTGTAGATCAATTTCCGTAACTCAAAACGATCAACGAAAATACGAAATGAAAATTAATTTAATAGTCATATTATATCACTTAAGGTTTAAAATCAATTTTTATTAAGCAAAAATGCTATAGAATATGTATGTGATACTTAAATAAGGTTCGAAATGCAAACTTTGTATATGCCAATAAAATGCTCACCGTTGAAAAATGATATTGCTAGCTAATATTTTCATTAGCTTAGAGATCGTAATTGGAAATCCAATTCAGCTCTAGCACTTAGAAATTTTCAAGTCTGGTTAACTGTTAGACATTACTATGTTTAGAAATTTATCGCGAGAGATTGGGTTAACCAGTAGGGTAGTATTATGGCTTGTCTTTGTAGCCTAAAGGACCCCCTATGGTGTAGCGAAGTGGGTTTGGGGATTGGAGCAACTTGTTAGAGGTTTCGAATGCTTAAAAATCGTGTACAACGCGTTCTCGGTCGACTTCCCCGTCTGTGTGCGGTCACCGTGCCCGTTGCCCCGTTAGCGCGGCGTCGGCGTTCTCGTCCGAATTGAGTTTATGTTTTCGTGAAAAATATAAATAGCATTTCATTTGTAATTTTGAGTTAAACTTTGGTAAATTGTATAAAATCATGTAGATATCCAAAAATTATGAAACCAATTTTGTTAGGTTTCTAAAATTGTGCTCTATCTGTTAGTGTATTTAGTTCATATATATATTTGTTGATACCAACGGCTATTAAATCATTTGCGAGTGTTTAGTATTATTTAGGTTAGTATTTGTAGGAATTTTTGTGGAAAATTGGTTATAGCTTTGACCACGAAATTTTTACAGTAAATTTGTTGTATTATTATGTGCTTACTATAATTTTTGTAGCCTTAGAATTGGTTAAGAAATATGATAGCTAAGTATTCCTTGTTGTAGTATATAGGAAATCGTTAATACGAGTAAGAATATATTTTAGTTGCTAAGTAGCACTTGTAGGTGAAACCCTACTGGTTTGATGGGAATGATGATTAGCTCAGTATCTTAGTCATTAGAGCTAGCTTAGTGGCTTAGTAGATGTATTCTTATTTTAAGAATTGTTGTTGCCTTAATATTGAGCGTTGCATCGTCATTGCATGCACGTAGAAAGCGAGTTGTTGGAGTTCATGACCAAGGGCGAGCAGGAGTACGAAGAAGTGATTAAAGAGTATGAGGAGGAGGTCCTCGTGCAGGAGAAAGTCTCGGAGCCACCATAAACTGACTGAGCGGACACCGCGCCTGCCCAAGACAAGCCCCGATACATAACCCTTATTTTGATTAAGCACTAAATATATATCTATGATGTGTATTTATATTACAGACATTTTATGAAAACCACCTACATAAATATATATGTCCTATGAAGTCCTACTAGCATAGATTGAGTAGCTGCTATACTTAGGCTATCGGTAGCGTGAGTAACCTGCCGTTAATCACAATAGGTGATTATTAATATCACTCATGATAAAATGGTGAAAGAAAATGGAGACTGGGCAAGGATATGGTATGGGTATTGGTGGGTGTAAGAGGTTGTGTTCCGCGGCCAACGGGGCATAGTTTGGTAACATTGTTTTCCTTGCCCGTGTTGATTAAGGACTGGTTGTTGCATTGGATTCTAATCAGGTCACAGACTTATTATCCTGAGCACATACTTGTTTATGGGAGCAGGGAAGGCTCGTTGCTCTCTTGCTGTGGGTTCTGGCTCTTTCTAGACCGACTAATTGGAGGCGGGGATGGTGGAGGTCTAAGCACCACACTGAGTCTGGGAATCAGGTGTGGGTGCTTTGAGTCCAAGTTTGAACGGGGACCTAGACCCCTTGACAGGAGAGTGGTGGGTTGGTCCTGCTTGTGCCTAGGGTACAAACGGGGCGTGTGTTTCAGGGTACCTAGCTGGGCACATTGATTCACAAATCGCTGGGTAATCCGGTATGACTTGTCTACAATCTAACACCGTAGTAAGAACTGGAAGATGAAAGATGATGAAATAGATCTGTTTACTCAACTCTTGTTTGAAAGTAGAACATGAGCTTACCTAGAATGGTTAGATAATGAACTAATCATAACTACTAATAAGAAACATACATAAGGATTCACTACTAGTATTGCTTTCCGCAAAAAGAAAACCCAGCAAAGCATAAAGCTTATCATATCCTTTGGAGTCAGAAAATTATTCCTACTAGTCGGGTAAGTCTTGCGAGTACATTGTGTACTCATGGTTTATTTACCCTGTTGCAGGTGCAACTTGAAGGGTAGCTGTTGTGTGGAGGATTCTTCTGGTGGGCACAGACGGATCCTTGTATTCTATTGTTAGATGTTTATTGTAATTCCGTTGTTTAAATTCCACACTCTAAACTTGGTACTGTAATAATGTATTTCTAAGAACTCTGGTTGTATGAAATGGGCTAAGTATTATAAACTCGTTCTCATTATTGAATCTTGGAGGAAAAATGTGGATTATTCGAGTTCTCCCTTGGGGTGTGCTCGACGAAATCCGTCTGATGTAGCTTGCTTTCGGGGTGCTTAGTGTCTGGTGGAAGACGAGCGCTTTTGAAGGTGTATTATTTCGGCCGATTGTGCCATAGGTGGTACCAAAGCCAATAATGACTTATGAGTTTCATAACTCTTTTCAAAACCTAAAATTTGACCAGCAAAAGTTTTGCAAAAAGTAGGATGCGATAAAATTATGTAAATAAGTATAAGCCCTAGCAATATGGTCTATCTAGGATAGTGGCACTGGTTTTATCTAATCAAGTTTCTGCATGTACACTAACTTGCACTGCGTAAGAATCGTTTAGCAAGCGAAAAGTGAGTGTGCGATGTGCCAAATTTTTTTGCGAATGCCGCTATATTCTGGCTTGAGTGAACGGGTAGGCCGATGCATGCATCATGAAAGGAGAATCTTGCTTAAACTAAACTCCCCCTACACGTATAATTTGGATTAGTGAATTGATAGGATAACCTAAAAGAATGCTTTAATAAAAGTCTTATCATTTCTCTAATCTCTTGTTCCTAATCTAGAGGGTTGTCCCTAATGGTTGGTTCCTATCTGTTTACAGATGAACCTTAGATCCGGTCGCGGGAGTACCAGCGCTAGGGCGGACCCGGGTGATAACGGCCGCGGTGAGGGCATTGGCAACACCAATGGAGAGAGCCACGAGGCCCCACTTCTGGCTCCTCCTCCACCACTACCACCTCCAATAACCCATACGGAGATGATGGTTGCCCGGCGCGAGTCAGCCCGTGCCTTGGAGATGCTGGCCTAGGCGGTTGGTGGCTTCGCCCATGGGGGCCACGGAGGCAATGGTGGGAACGGGGGCGGTGCCCGCGGTCTAGAGGGGCCGTGTTCTTACCAGGATTTCCTGAAGACGCACCCACCCACATTCATGTCGACTGCTGAGCCTCTGGATGCGGAGCATTGGCTTCGTATTCTGGAGCAGAAGTTTCAGTTGCTCATTGTAACTGAAGAACAGAAGGTGCGCTTTGCAACGCAGCAATTGTTGGGTTCTACCAGTGCATGGTGGGACACGTTCAATGCCATGCAGCCGGTGGTACACCGTGTGACTGTAACACCCCAAAATTTGCCTCTTTTGAAAATAGGATTAAAATGATTTAATTATGTAT